AAGCATTACTTCACAAAACGGAACTTGAAACATAGGCAACGTTTACAATGGCACAAAAAATCTGATTTTTTTTACTCGCATTGGAATTGGTTGCACACGTGTAAACACAAATCACCTCAAGATCCCATTTTAATACATCCGTTCTGAGCCACTTCCAAATGTGGTATCCACAGATATTCCATATCTGGACATCTGACCTTCAGGAAGGGATAATGTACATCTCAGAATACAGCCTGATAGAGTGATCAGGACCCTGACGCGAAACAAAATATATGTAATAGTATCTCAATGACACTAACATTACACTCTGTGATTAACATTTTCTCACAGGCTGTGTGACTGAACTTGGTAGAGATGTTCCTCACCCCTCGGGGTCAACAGGTCACAGGACAACATGCTGTTTTGTGGACGAGACATACCGGACGAGACGTACTGAATGCCATGCCGCACGCTTTAAGCTTATTACGGACTTTACAGCTGTTCTCTTTCTCCCAAATTAGTTTCTCACTCTCTTTCATCCGCAGGTCAAATGTTCCTCGCTCTTTTCTTTAGCTGTTTAGCAACCCACTTTTCTTTGTAATTCAAATGTCCTTTTTTGTTATACAATTATTTTTGTCCCAGTACTCTGCCTGTCTCTAACATCTGCTTTTCCTTTTATCTCGTAACTTTGAATACCATAAATACACAAACCAATGCACTAAAGAACGGGGGTGGTAAGAGTTTAAAAAATGTTTATGTTCATTTGATATCACTCTTAAAGTGACAGTTCACCCAAAACTTAACTTCGATGCATCATGATGGGTCACAAAACATAAAAAAATAGTTAGATGAAAAAGATTTGATAGCTTGGGGAAAATGAATAAGAAATTGTATTATGAATAAGGACTTTTATTATGCTTTTATGCCATTAATACAAAGCTATTCAAGTCTTGTCCCCACACAAAGAAGTCCAAATGAGTCTATATTACTGACAAAAAAAGCTTGGATGTGGAAAGAAACAGGATGGCACTACAAATTGCTCTGCTGAGGCTCCTAACAGATTTTTTCATGTGAATGTTTACCTCATGTTGGCCTCTAAAATCTTGTTGTTGTTGTTGCAGAAACAGGAGGTTCAATTCATCTGCAAGTCATGTTCTAGATTACAGTCTTGCCCTGCAGACAATCACACTCGCACGTGTGCACTTGAGTGAGCAGCGCTCTTGAATCAAGCTCCCTCTGTTCGGGACAGTTGGTGGCACTAATTTGTCCATGTTTTTGGCGCGCCAACTCTTGCCCTCTCTAAGCATCGGGTCTCTGCCATCTGCTATGTTTAGCGGTGTTGGCCAGAGCAGAAGTAGGCAAAGTGCCCACTGAGAAACTTCCAGACCTCAGCTGACTTGAGAGTCTCAACACACACACACACACACTCACCTGGTGCTGCATGTTAGTTGCACAGTGTGAATTTAATATGAAAAATTTGAATATATAAATTACCACAAGATTATGTCAAACAATTTAAGAGTTTTCTTGTCAAGAATTGTATACTTTTAAAACCCCATCATGCATTCAGATCAATTTTGACGCGGAACGCATACATACACTTGTGGTCAGCATCAGTGTTGTGCAAGTTACTTCCAAACTGTAATACATTAGGTATTACTTGTTACTGTTATTTAAAAGTAATTCATTACCTTACAATATTACTGTCTCAGAATTGCAATGCGTTACATTACTCATGTATTACTTTTGAGTTACTTTCACCAAAATAACTAAGTAGTACTTAACTTTGGGGCTGTAACGATATGCAATATGAAACCGAAATCGCGATTCGCCACACGACTCAGATCCACGGACCTACAGAATCGCGACACACCTCTTCCAACTCCCAGCGTTATTCTCCTTACCGTCCAGATCCAATCCTGCCTTATCTTAAAATTAGGCTATTTTAGTATTATTTGAAGTTAACATTATAAAATACGTAGACCTACACCACAAAACTAGTTGAGGATAAATTATTTAATATTGGGGAAGTCCAGCATTATGGACATGACATTTGCAGTCAAAACTTGAAATAAAAATTCTCAGAAAATACATGCATTGAAACGTATATAGGCTATTTCCTTAAAGGACAGACATTAGACAAATATCAGTCTATGTTTTATTTTTAATATTAGGGAAAAGACACACATTCATGCGTGACAAAAAAAAATAGGAGGCAAAATATATTTTTTTGTAATTCTGTTAATTACACTGCGCAAATCGGATGAGGAAGGGTTGGCATTTTAGTTTTCGTGTTCGCATTTATGAGGAAAAAACAATGTTACAGACGCGACCGCTCTGAACTGGCACAAAAAGACTGTTTTAAAACTTAAACAGAGTCTGTTGCCTTTAAGAAGTAAAATACACTGTAATACAACTGTAATACAAGCCTGACTGAACATGTAATGAGTAAAATATTACTGAAAATTGATTAGTAATGCCTTACACTACTGCGTTACAGCAAAAAGTAATATGTTACTGTAGTGTATTACTTTTGTAATGCGTTACTCCCAACACTGGTCAGCATTAAAAAAAAGTACTATTTTTAAAATTTTTTATATGAAATATATATGTTTTCTAAAACAGAAAAATCAAAGCCATACATCTAAAGAAGTTGTGTTCCAAATTTGAGGTTGATTTCTTAAAAAAAATGTAGCTTTCAGTAAGAATTTGTCTGGATCAAGTATCAAACGTTCCCACTAGATGAAATTCGTCTCCCATTCATTTCCAATTAGCTAATTTTAGAGTCATTTTTTCAGGACCATTTAACCTTTTCGAATCAGGTCCGTGATTTTTGTTTGTGTTCACATAGCAAGAGCCACAACTTTTATCAAGTGTCTTACCATTCCAATGAAGTACAGAAATTATTAAAAAAGTAGTAATTTGGCAACATTTAAAACCTTGAGATTTACATTAATGAAAGTTATTGATCAGATACGATATGGTTTTAGTTGAAAAATACTAATTTAAGACTGTGTTATAAGCTCACATTCCACCGGGTCCAAACAGACATGGGTATGCAAAAAATTGCATGCAGATTTAATGAAGCTTTTTTCTTTATTATGATATCTAGTCAGCGGCACCATGTGACTTTATGCCCCCCAAAAGTTTAAATTATAAATATTTTTCTCTTAGAATAGATCATCAAATCATTGTATTTATGAACTGCATTTTATTGCATAGTTTGTGATATTTACATTTTTGCACACTTGTTCCATTATTATCTTCTGCTTGTAATAAAATATGAGTTTACTAAGATTTTAAGTGGTATAAACATGAATATGAGTTGGTCCACGTATAAAAGAGGAGGAAATCAGTTTTTGGATTTCATTAGAGCTCCATAAGCTCCTTAGAGCTCTGCTGAGATGAAACTCCCAAGTGTCCCAGTGACGCAAACGCTCGCGTATGAGGAGGAAGGTTCGGCCTCACGTGGCTCTGACAGACTCAAAACACACGCAAATCCATTTCTGGTGCCAGCTTTTTGACAAAAGACTTATTTTCGACAATACGTACCCTCTAATACGTATATGTAGCCTTATTTACAATGCTGGTCTAGAAACATACATCAAATAGGCTACACAACTGCTGCTCTGAAAATATCGTTTCCAGGGAAAGTAATTGTATGACTGTAACTAGAAGGATCGAAACAACGTGAATGGCACAAATGTTGTACTGTCCATGTAATTCTGTGATGTCACCATCTCTCACACCGAATACACCAGACAGGGCATGTGACTGCCATAGATTATGAATCAATTCATCCCTAAGGCTGACTGACATTAGTTGAGAAACAACTGAAACCCGAGAAGGAAAACATCATGTGTTCCTGTAGCCGTAGAGCAAGGGAAAGTTTATAATCTAAATGTATTGAAATAAAATGAATAAAAGTTCAACACAAAATTAATTTCCTAACTAAGCACACACTGTAAGCAGGCTCATATCTTTATTAGCGACAACCGATAAATGAGAGATATTAAACATTTTTCTACTTTGTTTAAATAAAAATAGTATTTTTGTCTAAAAATATTTAAAATTGAACTAAAATCAATAATTTTAACGCTACAAGGGAATTTAGATCAAGCCACAGCATAATACACCATATAGAATAAGAAACATTCATTTTAAATATTTCGATTAAGTGACCGTTTACACGACAATGTCGTTTTGGGGGCCTGAAAAAGAAACTTTCATAAACAGGTTTCAGAGTGCAATTTTTTTAAAAACTATACTATTATCGTCTCCATGTAAACTCCGAAAAAAAAAAAAACCATGACAAAAAAACATGAATTTTGTTTCTTTACTAAGTGAGATCGCCATCTACTGGTCTGGCTGCAGAATGTGTGTTTGTAATAGTTTTTGCGGATCCGTGTGAACAGGATCATTTGCACGTTTTGTCGTCAGTACACGAACAACAAAAAAGGAAAAAGATTATAATTTGTTGTACATCGTTGTGGTGCAAACACCCTAAGATTACATTTAATAGTTTTATTAAATTATTACCGTCACAAGATTATAATATTTAGCATTGTAAAAAGTAAAAAAATGTGTTTTTAAGATTAAATTTTGTAATGTTTCTTAATTATTAGTGATAACTTGAGAGAACCAATAAGTGACAGATAAACTTTATTCTATTTTGTTTATATAAAACCTAAAATATTTTGTCTAAAATGCAAATAAAAAGTGAATTAAAGTGTTAACAACATAATATATCTGTTATGGAAAAAAGATTGCATTAAGATTGCATAGCCGTGTTATTAAATTACGAGTGTTACTTTCATTTGAGGGACAATGACTAGATTTGTTTGTAAAAAAACAGCTATATAATTCCTTAACAAAATATACTTTCTCACTAAATAATCCAAAATACAGTTTCATGGTAGGCACGGTATATTAGTGGCTCGCAGATTTCCTTTAATTTAATGACATTTTTTCCTTTTGTTGGTCTGAGAAATCATCCTGTCATTGAGGAGAAATGGACTCACCTGTATCAAAGTCTGGAAGTGGGCGGCACAACGAGATCAGACATAAGGAAAAAGAGAAAGAAAATTAGTCTCTTATTGTTCAGATTTGATCATGTTCCCAATTCGCTGCACGCATGCACTCATAAACAACTCTGCAGTTCTTAATAAACCACATCCATTATCTTGCTAATGGATATTAGATCATTAACTGAGGCAAACTGCCACGTCCAGATCCCAATGATCAATGCAAATTGTCACAAAATTATGATTGATGATCTCTGTGAGGTGTTTATATCTATTTTAGACTTGGTTTCTGCCTTCACACACACAACTGTTGTCTAAAAATGTGCTAATCTGTTATCAATACTGGTATCTGTGCAAAGACAAGCCGAGACAAAGATTCAGGGGCGCTTGGAGAAGTCAGAGTTTCTGGCTCGGGTCTGTTGGCAGCGATGCAGTGTGCTAGCTAGCAGATGGACGTTAGCGAGAGTGTGTGTGTGTGTCTGTTGGGCCAAATTCCTGAAGAGATCTGGACAGGGCAGGACATCATCCTTTATTGATATGGTGATGAAGCACTTTGAACAAACATACACACAAACAGAGTCATACACACAAACAGAGGCCGAGTCTTTCTTCTTGTGTTATCTATATCGCTAGTGGCACGCTGACGTTTATGCGAACTGTCAGATGAGCACGAAGGGCTTGAGTGAGAGGACAATATTATGACAGGAAGTGTGTCACTGCTTCAGAGGAAATAACTTTACCTGACACCTGATTCTCAGCAGAAAAACACTTTTTTTATTTTAGGATTAATAATTCAGAAGTCACCTAGATCTGTCTAGTCAAATTAAACTGAGGATCTGAGGCGGGAAGGATGTGGGTTTGTGAAATAGTTGTTCGTTTGATGTCCTGAAATAACGCCATTATGGAAAGAGGCATTTAGAGGAAGAGGAGAAAGAGTGAGAAGGGACGAGACGGATCGATATGGAAATGAGGAAGAGAAAGCAGATGTTCTCACTCTTTGCTGTATGGTGGCGTGTTTGTGCTCCATCTCTCTCTTCTCCATAGCAGAATCAATGACCAGCTGATCCAACTGAAGTACAAACACAAAGGACATTGGGTTATAAAGTCGAGTCGAGTTTTTTTCATGTCTATGACACTCCTTTTATGATATATGAATATGTGAACTCATTGTCATATTCAAGAAAACAATTTGAAATAATTCAAGCTTTGTGACATGGTGCATTATCCTGCTGGAAGTAGCCATCAGAGGATGGGGACATGGTGGCCATAAAGGGACGGACATGGTCAGAAACAATGCTCAGGTAGGCCGTGGCGTTTAAACGATGCCCAATTGGCACTAAGGGGCCTAAAGTGTGCCAAGAAAACATCCCCACACCATTACACCACCACCAACAAGGCATCAACAAGGCGTTTTGGCCCACAGGACTGACCCATACTGGATGTATTTCCCTTTTCACTCCATTCTTTGTAAACCCTAGAAATGGTTGTGTGTGAAAATCCCAGTAACTGAGCAGATTGTGAAATACTCAGACTCAAAATTGCTTAAATCCCCTTTCTTTCCCATTCTGACATTCAGTTTGGAGTTCAGGAGATTGTCTTGACCCCTAAATGCATTGAAGCAACTGCCATGTGACTGGTTGATTAGATAATTGCATTAATGAGAAATTGAACATTTGTTCCTAATAATCCTTTAGGTGAGTGCGTCTTGGCAATAAAACTTGGCATGCCAATTTTGTAAATTGAGGAAAGTTAAGTTTTAGAGCCGTGTCGCGTTGATCAATGCATTTATTGGCTAGTCAGTAGACGGTTGCAGCACCAAACACATGCTAAGACTGTGACAACGCCCGTCCACTATTTAAATCGCCATGATTGGTCATCTTTCATCTCTGGGACAACCCAAAATCGTACAGAGCCCGCCTCAGACAGATGCACCCTCGAGGATAGACATTATCCCTCATTTTCCCTCATTAGGCGTGTGTTAATGTGGAGCCTGGGGCCCGTCAGCACATGTCCAGCATTAGGCGCAGGTGTCTCGGGACAGCAGGTGCACAGGGGCCCTAATGAGCACGAGTTAATGAGAGGTGTAGATGCATCTCACCTCGGCAGCCAGCTTCTTCATGTAGGGGTCGATCTCGTCCAGGAGGTTGAAGCCCTGCTGGAACAGACTGTACTGAGCCTGCATGAACGACAGCATCTGTGGAGGACAGAGAAACACGTCAGTACGCAAACTATGAAGAGGGAGGATGCTGGTTTAATGTGCTGTTTCTTTACTCACCGAATCCAAAATCTCAAATTTCTTTTTGGCTTGAAGAACATTGATCTGAGAAAGATATCAAGAGAAGCACATGTTAGTTAGCAGATTCAAACTTACAACCTTTGGATGCCAGCCCATCACCAAGTCATTTTGGTTCAAACTAGCCATTTTTGGCATGATTATTGTCCCATGAGGCAAGAGGACCCTGGTGAAGAACAGGCAGTCTGAGACTTTTGGGATCCCTGGCACACAATCCATTCTGGCACATTTTTAGCCCTGTTAATTCATTTTAACCCTCTGATGGTCCTCGGTCACTTCTGAACGAATAAATTATGTTTTGAATTATTAAAAATCACAGCTTCATCGGAAGGTTATGATACTTGGTGACATTTCTGGCATTTGGTATGTGAACACAAAAAAATTGAGTTCATGATCCGAGCATGCTAAGTGGTCGTAAAAAAAATAGTCACGATTTTGGTCTTTGGTCAAAAATGACCCCCATAGGAAATGAATGGGAAATTAACAAAAACACAAAAATTCACAATTTTTTTTTTTATTATTTATTTTTTTTATTTTAACAATTTTTTAATAAGAAATAGTTCTTGAGATTGTTTCAATTATATATTCAAATCCACAAAAAAAAAAGTGTTCATAAACAGCTGGGGAATTCACATGCCTCTTCATAGAGAGCTGTACATGCCATCTAGTGGTTACACCATGATTCTACGCTTTTTCTCTATACGGTAGCGGCCAGATGGTGCTAATTTTCAAAAAAAAAAAATTTTTTTCTGAAGGCCTATACTCTATATTAATCAAAAATACTGCATTGATAATTAAAAAAAAAAAAAAAAAAATATATATATATATATATCCATTGAAAAAATAGACCATAAATATTGCATAAATATTAATAAATTCAATCAAATTGTCTCAAAATACTAAATTAAAAAGAAAAAATATTATTGAACAAAAATAAATTGCATTGGTTTTACTGGGATGGAAGAAGTTTCATTTTTAGGCCTCAGGACGTGACTCATGAAGGAAGACCATCAGAGGGTTAAATGATTACACATGATCCTGCTCCACATAGTGGCCATTAGAAACACTACAGCCAGTTTGTGTCCTGTATTAGACATTAAACATATTTGACATCCTAATAAATCAGAAACATATCAGATATAATGGTCATGGCTGTCCATTTCTCTATTGCAGTGTTTCTGAACCTATTACTGGAGGCACACAAAGGGTCCATTTAAACCAATGAAATGTGAGGCAACACTTTACTTTAAGGGGTGTGCATAAGACTAACAAGACACCTTCATAATCATGACATGACATATGTTATGAATACGAAGGACGTTTTATGCATGTTTGTGACAGTGTCATTCGCTCAGTTATGACATTTTTAATGCAAATAAGACATTGTTTGAGATGTCTTTGTTATGACACCTTGACGTCATGACAAAGACACCGACACGTTATGATGTATTGGTTTATGTCAAGATGTCATAAAGACATCTTAATGTCATATTTGCATTTAAAATATCATTGAGCAAAAGACACTTAATGACCATTGTCATAAACATGCTTAAACACTACTTCATATTCAAGACATATGTCATGATTATGAAGGTGTCATGTCAGTCTTATGCACACCCCTTCAAGTAAAGTGTTACCAAATGTGAATGTGTTTCTACCATTTATTTATACGACAACAGCGTTTGGGGACCTGAAAACGTAAACTCGTGAAAATGGGATTCAAAGTGAAAAAAGTGACATCGCCAACTAGCGGCCTGGCAGCAGAATACAGCATTTTTAGTCGTTTCCGTGGATCCATGTGAACGAGATCGTTTTGACGACGTGGTCTTCTGTATATGAAAAATTGCAAAGGAAAAACATTTCTTCGTTTTTTCAACTCAATCTGATCAAACGCAACTCCTCAGCTCATTATAGAGACTCCAAGACCTGAAATTTACAGGGGAGGCATCCAAAATGTGCACTGGTGGTGTGTCTCCAGGAACAGTGATGGGAAACACTGCTCCATAGTAAATGCAAAACACTAATATCTAGTTTTTGTTTTACCAAAACAGCCTTGGGTCACTTAACCAATATAGTACTGTCATTACAGCAATCTTTGTCAGCCAACCGAGTTCACTAAAAACAAAACATGGATGGTAACTAAAAGGAAAAACCATAAAATCACAGCCTTCACAGGACACAAAGCCTGGAGAGTACAAAGTAGGTCGAGTTATGTTATGAAATGAGAGCTAATGATGGCCGAGTAAAGATGGGAAGAAGCGGTCAGGTCCGATCCGTCAGACCGCGAGGCCGGCGGCCATTTCCAAGTAAAAATAGCATGCGAGACTGCCCAGAAACTGGCAAAGCTTTTATGGAGATGGAAAATTAAATGTTTGTGGGGCTAAACACTGAGTTTGTAAATGGACAATGAAAGTCAATGGGGTCCAAAAAACATTGTTTCTTTACATAGAAAAAACAGTTTAAACATTCTCCAAAAAGGTTTGGAATGACATGAGGGGGAGTAAATTTCATTTTTAGGAAAACCATCCCTTTAACAATTCCTTGTTTTCATCATTTTGGGGGATTTACGATGATATTGATTTGTGAAAGACCTGAAGCACGTAGTCGAGGGCGAGGTGTCGGAAGCACTTGCGGGTCGTGACGAGGGTGCTGGTGGCCTCCTCCACCTCATGCGGTTTGTTGCGAGGCGCCTGGGCGTTCTTCACCTGGGCGATCTCCATATCCTCCCGAACCTTATCGAACTGCTTCTTAGTCTCTTTAAACCTCCGAACATCCCTGCGTGGACACAAATGACAAGGTAAGACGCACACATCACAGAGGACGGGGGAGTGGAAATGCAATAGAAATTAGAAACACTGGCAGTTTCTACTCACTCCTTCACAAAATTGTGCAACTGTTGCTTCACGGATCTTTGGGCCTGGTCGAACAGGATCTGTGAAAGAATAAAAATAAATAAAAATGTATTAGCATCTAACTGAAAAACACTGAGCGGGTTGAACGGTACTTAAAAGGGTGCCAGATGTTCCCTAAGCGTTTGAAATGATGTAGTGGTGTGCCGTTTTTAAACTAATTCCTTTTCCTTTTACTAAAGCTTCTCATTTTAGACCTAAATTACACTTAAAATTTCACTTGTGAACAAACTGTCGACTTAAAGGAGAACTTCGGAGCAAAATGAACCTTTGGTCTAATTACACATTGTTACCTAGTCAACCGTTATCTGAGATTTGTTTTCATTATTGCCGAATGTAAATAGTTGTATCTCTAAAAAACGGTTTAGCCTGTAACGCTAGTATAGAGTAATGACAAATAAAAATCACAAGCTTATGTTGTTATTACCACTAACAAGGCTCTAAATAGCCCCACAGTAACACGGTAGCATAATAAGGGTCCCTACATTCAAACCGAAGCATTGAGAACTTTGTCAGTGTCCAAACAGTTTAATAAGAAGATAGTTTATACACACAGTCAACTTCGCGAATACAGGAAGAAGCCATCTTTGAAAAATAGTCTCTACCAATCGATCTACGAACGCCGATCCAAGTGCGCCGAACTGTGTAGAATCTCATATGGTCCGTTGTTTCCGGAAGAAACACAAACACGAACCATTTTCTTCTCTTTAATATGTACATGTAGACTATTGTTCGCGCTCACCTTATCACCTTATTCACATCTCACCAGCGCACTTGGATCGGCGTTCGTAGACAAAATCAATTGGGACATCTCATCGGTGAACAAAACGAATGACAGTATCATTCAGCTGTTCAATTCAGCATGTGATTCAATCTGGTTTACATTTCAAACTTGTGAACGACTCAGTGACTCATTTAAAACACTTGGCATTTGTGCAATATAACCTGCAGAAAAAGCAAAAAGTGAACAAATCTTTGTGGTAAACAGATTCAGAGTCACTGGGATCAGTTAAAATCACCACAGAACTATTAATGTGCTATATATATATATATATATATATATATATATATATATATATAAGCTGCTATCTGACATCAGTAAGATATACATTTTTTTTGATGTTGACGAAATTAATACTTTTATTCAGCAAAGACACATTAAATTGATGACGCTGTTCTTTTGAACTTTCTGTTCATAACAGAATAATGAAAAAAATTATCAGTTTTCACCCAGAAATGATGCAGTACAACTGTTTTCATCATAATAATAAGAAATGTTTCTTTAGCATCAGATCATCATATTCGAGTGATTTCTGATTGATCATGTGACACTGAAGACTGGAGTAATGATGCTGAAAATTCAGGAATAAATTACATTTAAATACGAAATAGAATTGAATATAAAATAGAAAACAAAACTACTGTTTTACAGCATTTTTGATCGATTGATCAAATTATGACATGTCAACAAAAAGCATCCTTTTGAAGGAGACCATTTTTGTGTTGTTTATCTAGCAACAAAGTGCTTTAAAACACATTCTGAAGGTAATTTTATCAGGGATCAATCAATAACATTGGCTGTAGGTTAGCAGATCTTCAATCCTGCTCCACTGTTCATTTCCGTCCTGCTTTAGTTTGCCTTTCTGTGGCTTTTCAAGTGATCCTGAAGACTTTAATTGTGTTTGATATAGAATATAAAGGGTGCACTACTCTCATATCACCAGCAGATGGCAGAGCAGGTGTAGATCTGTGTCTGTAACACCATCTCACACACACGGTGGGTGACTGCAGGTCAAGGGTTAAATAGGTCACAGATGCGTCGCAAAGGTCAGGGATCTGGGAATTAGTCACCCAGGAAAACACACATGCTCATGGACACAAACCCGGGGTCCTGTGAGGAAACCTCTGAGGGAAGGTTGTAAGAACGTAGGCATGTCTGTCAATGTGGATCATACATGAAGTCAGCAGAAAGCTTTACGCCGCGCTCATCTCGAGTCCGGTCACAAGAGCTCAGCTTTACGGCAGAGATAAGCTGCCACGAGAGAACGTGACCGAGCGCGTCACATGGAACAGGAGGGCCACATGTCTTGAGGGTAAAGCTGGCATGTGAGAGAGGAAGAGAGTGCAGCGGAAAGGGGAAGCAGACATTTGCATTTTGTACAGTTCTGTCAAATCCCAGCCTTTGCATTTTATAAAGGCCTGGACTGGATTCAGCATTTTCTATTCATCCGCCTCAAATGTCCCCACTCTTTCATTAGTGATGCTTGACTACTGCTACTCACACTCTGGACCCAGTTTAGTACACTCCAGTTTTTATGTGAGGGGTTTGCATAACGGTAAATGAATCATTAGCCCGGCATGCACATACAAATTTTCATTTTTGTGATTTAAAATTCAATCAAAAAAGGTTTGTTGAGCTTTGTCATGACTGAGGCCACACTTAAAGGGACACTCCATGCTTTTGCATTTAAAGGAGTAGTTCACTTTTAAAAAAGTTTTTCTGATAATTTACTCGCCCCCATCTAATCCAAGATGTCCATGTCATTCTTTCTTCAGTCGAAAAGAAATTAAGGTTTTTGATGAAAACATTCCAGGATTTTCTCCATATAATGGACTTCAATGGGGTCCAAACGGTTCAAGGTCCAAATGAGAGTTTCAGTGCAGCTTCAAAGGGCTTTAAACGACACCAGACGATGAATAAGGGTCTTATCAAGCGAAACGATCGCTCATTTAAAAAATAAATTAAAAAGTTGACGTTTTATAAGCATAAATACTCGCCTCGCTCTGTTCTGTGATGCGCGTTCGTGACTCTCCTGTTCGAACTCGTTCATCAAAATGAACAAATCTTTTTTCCGAGTCATGACTCGAAGGGTCCTATACAAGACCCTTATTCATCGTCTGGTGTCGTTTAAAGCCCTTTGAAGCTTCACTGAAACTCTCATTTGGACCTTGAGCGTTTTGGACCCCATTGAAGTCCATTATATAGAGAAAAATCCTGGAATGTTTTCATTTCAATGTTTTTTTTTTTTGTGTAAGAAATTGATATTTCGTTAACGTTGAGGCATCAATGGTTGTCTTTTTTTGTCTGCTTCTTTATAGATTTCTATGTATTGATTTTGTTTCTTTTATATTATCTACCCCAAAACATTTGAATTAGAGTTGCGCGTTGTCTCTTTATGCTCGCATTAAAGATCAAAGACTTTAATTCATTACTAGAGTATAGTAACAAAGATGGATTTAACATTTTTATATAATTTTGTTTTGAATGATCGTTCCTCAGGGATCATGACTGAAGCTCGGCATAAAGGCCTGTTATTAAAAGGGCGTGGCATTTCCTGTTGTCCTTTATATCTTTTGCCGGGAATTATGGGAAATGTAGGTTTTGGGACAGTATGTGTTTGAGTCATTTGTTAATTTGAATGTGTATTTTTTCATTATTGCTTTATGGTGAATGTGATTTCATATGTTTGTTTGTGTATATTTACATTGTTTTTCATTCCAGGTTCATGCACTGAATTTTGAATTGAGATCTTGTACTGAATTGAGATTATAAAATGGTTTGGTCTGTTTTGTTAAAAGGACGTCATTTTCTATGGCTGAGTTAGTTTTGGTGAAACATCAGTCTGTAATGTCCTAAAGTAACCGTTTCTTTTGTTGTACTTCTGATTTTCTTCAGATGATATTAGTTAAAGTCTATTTAGAGAGTGTTGAACACTGTTCAGCAGGGTAATTAACCAGCATGCTTTACTGAGCCATTACTCTAGACATTAGCATTGCGACTTCTCTTCCACGTTCTCTCTTCCTCTTCACTGTGTCAGATCCCTCTTTAATTGCCTTTCACTTCATCCTCTATCCTTGTTTTAGCTCAGATTGTGTCTAGCGAGCGTGGAAGACCAGATAGCATCACCTCAGGTGACGTTCTGAGAAAGACATCGAGAGAACGTCAAGACTCGAGGCGGAGAGAGAGACTGGGGAAGAGCGAGTGTGTGTGTGTGAGACGAGGTTTAATCGCGGCCGCCGGCCGTACATGTGTGCTAGCGCCCTTGAGAAAGCACAGCCTTTAATGTAGCGCCAGACGCTAGCGCAGAGTCAGTGACGCATCACAGTCAGAGATGGAGGAGAGAGAGGATTCTGCAGCCCTTCAGCAGAGTGAACGAGAGAGAAGCTGAATGGGTGGTTCTTCAGTGTCAGGCACTTTTATTAAACAGATTAAGGCCACATTAAAACATTTCATCATGCCTGTGTTATTTGTGCTACTTTCCAAATGGTTTTTATGCTAGTTCCACACTAAAAAAAAAATATGCTTTATCTAATCAATAAAATTGTGGCAACATATTACAAGCAATATTATTAATTGATTAATTCAATTTAATAAATAATACTGCTTGTAATCTGTTGCCACAATTTTATTGATTAAAAAAAGCATATTCATTTTTACAGTGCAGGCTTTCAGTAATAAAATATGAAATTCCATCTTATAACTATGAATTTTGTTTTATTTTTTACATCATATTAGCCTTACATATTCATATTATCTATCACAAGCTAAGGCAAGCTAAACCATTTTTTTTTATTTCACGGTTAATCTGAAATTGATTATTTTACTATATGAAAATAATTTCTATATAGCCTACTTTTTCATCCCGGGTGTCGTTTCCACCCCTACACACAATTAGTCACCCATCCCTTTCACACAATAGCCTACAGTCTTTACTGGTAAATTACCGTTAATTAAAGAGATTTAAAAAAAAATACTGGTAAATCAGTTTTAAAGCAGAATTTCTTGGTATAAGAAGTTGTAACATTACCAGTAGATTATCGGTGTGATGCTGTGAGTGAACCAAAGACTCAAGATTACCGGTATGATGGTGCGTTCAAGTTCGTACTTCGTTCGTACCAAGTCACTGTCGGCGGAGTAAGATGGCGGTGTACTTTCTCTTAAAGGTGCATTGCGCAACATTTCATGTTAAAAATAGCCGTTTTTCTAACGCAGGAAGAGGGTTTCGGGACGGAGTTTGAAACT